CTACTTCGGACTTTTTCTGACTATTTCTGGGAGATAAGGAACGCTCCTATTGTGTTCGGGCTATAAAGCCTGATATACAGTTCAATGTGAGCGTGAGCTTTTTATTTTGACCAATATCTTCGTTATTACTTAACTTTTTGCAACAATTGATACATCAAAAGATAGAGAATTAAAATATCTTTCAAAATCAGGAAAACTAATTTAAAATGCATAATATGCCTTTTTTCAAGCTCACACTCAACTGCGTGCGTACGGAAAGCATTCGCATGTGAACAAGTTTTGACAGATGTGTGTGAGCGTCCATCATGATTCAATAATACAAGGTTCGAAAAACTGACAGTTGTCTCTCTCGCACCGCTCCCTTAGCAGTGGCACTGTGTTGCTTCTTTGCAATTTTACATGGAAACAGTGTAGCTTTGGTGTGAAATAAAAGTATAAGCTTTTGTGCAATATCTTTATTTGTATATGCATATGAAGCATATTTAACTGATGAAAACATATGCACTGGATGTTTACATCAGTCTCATAGTAGTCTTTTTTAAATTTTGAGTCATTTTGCAGTTTTTATACGGCTAAATAGCATATAAATTACGTAATTCACGTAGATATATCAATATACGTTCAACATTTCGTTTAAAATGCCAGATTTCCTGCAAACACATTAGAATTTACGAAAGGAATTTCACTACTAATTGCCTACTTTCCGTACTTTTCTACTACCATTTTCGAAACAAGGGATTGCATTCTTGCCCTTTCTCTGTCCTCCGTAAATGCAACCTTTTGTAAGGGAGTGTCAAACCGCAGCTGTCAATAATTATCTAACCTTGTATTATGGAATCATGAGCGTCCATAAGAACACAAATGAAATTCTTTGGCCAAGGCGAATTAATATAAGGTGATAGCAGGAGTACAAAAACAAAAATTTACATGTATTTTGTTTTTGCTTTGGCTGCATAAACTGTCAAAATCTGTAAGAGTGTGTGTAGAAATTCAAACAAAATTTTTCAATTTGATATCAGAAGCCGTGCGGCGAAACACATACACAAAATCAGCTGAGCTAGTAACACCACCTTATATAAATTCGCCTTGTCTTTGGCTTTGCGAACGTTCACGCTGACGCTCGCATTGAACTGTATATCAGGCTTAAATGCAATTCCACTTTTGCATTAAAGCCCAAAATACAATAACGCAGTGGCAGTGGCAGCGGCAGTTTTTCGAAATCAGCTGTTTTTTTAGAAAATGTGGTGTCCAATGAAGCGACTCACAATACAGCAGTGGCAGCTAGCAGTACTGCTCAGTTTAGCCCAAATTCTAAATTCACTGCCACTGCCTTCATCGCAGCAAACTCCGCATGCTGAATTTAACATAAATGAAACGCAGCCAACATCTGTTGATGTCACTAAAAGGCAACAACAAAAATGTAAACAAACAAAAGGGAATGTCAAAAAAAGCTGCCACTGACAACGCCGTATTGTATTTGCTGCGGCAGTGACTGCCAATATTAGCAGTAACAGCTGATTTAAAAACTGTCACTGCCACTGCGCTATTGTATTTTGGCCTTAAGAATCTAAATGCTAAAAGCAAACCTCTGATCTCCAAAATTTCCACGATTCGAGCATTGTTTAATGAGAAAAAGTGGCAACATTGCTCTTTCGCGTATACAGTAGCTGGCTGCGTTCCAGTAATCGCCGATCGAGATTTCATTTTATTTTACACTATTTGGATAAAGAAAAGTTACGCAAATTCAACATCGATTTGATGCTGATAGAAATCTGGATCAATTTGTGATCAACTCTGTTTGTTTTGTTTCCTAAGTAAGTGAGGAAATTTTTATCGACAGCATGGACAAATCAATATATACACAAACAAATGTTCGGTTATGGTTAAAACAATTCAAGTTTTTGTATTGAATTTTTGGTTTAAAATTTATTTTTTCCTTTTCAGTGGGGTTTTTTGCTCATTATCTTCTGCGTGAGAATTGATCGTAATAGATACAGATCTGAATAAGCGACTGGAACACATGATCCAACTACACAAGATCTGATAAGATGAAGCAAAAGAAAAAAGTAATTTTCTGGCTGACGTTTGTAATTTCGGCGCCATGTTATGCGGCGTTTTTGCTGCATTTAAAATGCAACATTTAGCACTTTCGAACATATTTTTTCGAAGAGCGTTCATGCTATCGCATTTAGCAAATGTACATTTACGCGAGTTCGAAATCGTATGCTTTTGACAAACAGCCGTGTTCCAGTCGCTTATTTAGATCCGTATCTATTACGGATCAATTCTCACGCAGAGGGTAATGTGCAAAAAAACCCTACTGAAAAGGAAAAAACAAATTTTAAACCAAAAATTCAATACAAAAACTGGAATTGTTTTAACAATAAACGAACATTTGTTTGTGTATATATTCATTTGTCGGTGCTGTCAATTAAAATTACCTCACTTAATTAGGAAACAAAACAAACAGAGTTGATCACAAATTGATCCAGATTTCAATCAGCATCACATCGATGTTGAATTTGCGTAGCTTTTCTTTATCCAAATAATGTAAAATATTAAATGAAATCTCGATCGGCGATCACTGAAACGCAGCCAGCTACTGTATACGCGAAAAAGCAATGTTGCCAGTTTTTCCCATTAAACCATGTTCGAATCGTGGAAATTTTGGAAGATCACAGGGTTGCTATTAGAATTTAGATTCTTAATGCAAAATGGAGTTGCATTTAGGTGACGAATTTTGTATGGATAAAAGTACATTTAGAGTAGCATTTAGAGCTAAATGCGCTAAATGTGCTTTTACGTGTAAACAAAAACAGCCCATTATTTTCTTTGAAAAGTAAACAAAGAATATGAACACGAAGCATAAAGGAAAAAATTCAAGCAATTTTGTAGCACATGTTTGTGCTAACCAATTTATTATTTTTGTACGTATTTCATTATTATCGTCGTAGCAAAAGCGACCACCTGGCAACTTGTCAGGGTGGAATTTTTCACGAAGTTGATGCATCTATACACCAAATCGTTTGATAAAGTGATAAACTTTGGTTAAATAGATTTCCATACAAAGTTTGACAGTTCATTTATCAAAATGATAGATTTATCTTTTTATCACTTTTGATGAAAGCCCATGAGCTAGGTAAAATTCTGGCATTCGTATTCACCACGAGAAATGTCAAATTTTTAGTTTGAAGCTTAGTATCCAGCTCTTAAGAAAACGGTCAAGAAAAAATTGCCATTATTTCGCGTGTGTGTCCAAGGAATTTTGACATTTTTGATAACGCACAGCCTGTTGCCTCACTCTTTCCTCAAGAAATAATGGAACGGGCATATATTTCTGTTGCAAACCTGGGTTGCCTTGTGCTCTTTTTTCACAAAAAACTTTAGAAAACCGTAGTAGAAAGCGTACTAAATTTCTGAAGAACTGCGTACTGCCTTAAGGAAATTTGACTCAAGAAAATTTCTTAGCCATTTCTTGTACGTCATTTTATATGGAGTTTTTGCTTTTCTTAAGAGCTGGATACTAAGCTTTATCCGTAAAAATTTTTGAGATATACTTACTGAATACCAGCTCAAGTGGTTATATTTTTTTTTAATTAGAACGATAGAGTTTTGAGCCCCCTTAATATTTTTATACTCCTCGAAAAAGTCTCCAAATTTTTATTCCAAACTCAAATGGTGGCATCTTCATAACTGTCGGAGGTATTTCGCGCAAAAATGACCGGCAAAAGCAATTTTGGAAGCGTATGGGGTGCACATATTTCTGAACAATTTAAGCAGTGATATATAAAGCGGTGCCTTATCAATTATCCGTGCAGAATAGTCAAATTCTTAATACTCCCAAAGGCAACATATGTAACGACTGATATGGTGTCGCTTCAGGACGTCTCCACATTCATTGTTCCAGGCCAACTCTGCGCCCTGCCACAGAATGAAATGGAGAGCTGCTCAGTGGTAAGTATAAGTTTTACGTTTTTTCACACATTCCTTTTGAATTATACATATATACATATCTATTTTCAGTCGGAATATTACCCTGAAATTAATTTAAACTGCGAAATGTTCAGCACATCAGTCAGTGGGCACTCAGCCGACACTTATCGCAATGTAATGATACCGGTGAATGAAGGTGTAATGAAGCGCATAATACGGACATTTTTCGAAAGTGGCTTTATAGAAGCACTGAATGAAGCCCGAGACCAACAAACTGCTACTGTAAGTCCGCTGATGTGCACCACTGCAAAATATGCATTTGAAATGTTGGAATATTTTAAAAGACTGAAGACGAAAATTTTCCCACACATGCGTGAAGTTAGCGTCAACAATGTAGCTGAGTTTTCCGAAACTCGGGACTGGCTGCGATCCTATATACGTTGTATTGTTTGGCATCCGAATTGTTTCAAAATCGCTGTTGCGGGGTCAGATGATATTGTAAGGGTTTATACGGATGAACCGGCAATGGTGCCAGTTCTTAAAGTAAGGCATTTTCGAAACACAGCTAATTACTTCACTAAGTGTCTGTTTATGATAGAGTGGTTCACAAAAATGGATTACCTCAATGGCGTGGAGACCATTTGCTGCCGCCGAGCTCGCAGTGGGATGTCAAAAGGGTGTTTGTCTATGGACAATGGACACAAATATGCATTATACCCGTAGTGCTACACAAGCAGTATTTCTAAAGCAGTGAGTATAATGACGTTTTGTTAATTCAGCAACATTGACCACTTAACACTGCATTCATACGTAGTCCAGGCCATTGTCCCATTAATTCCGTGCAGTGGAATGCCGATGGTACGCTTCTTGCCACCGCTTCTATAAGCGATGCGGATGTTTTATTGTGGGATGTAGATAAGTTGCAGAATATGTCATTAAGAAGAGTTGGGCCCCCATGCTCGCTGTTAAAATGGTCGCCTGATGGCGCTAGTCTATTTTCTGCCACTGTTGGAAATGTTTTTCGAGTGTGGCCAGCCCATAAAAAGTGGACGCCGGAACGTTGGACCATCAATTCTGGTGTAGTACAGTCGGCATGCTGGTCACCATGCGGCAACTTTTTGCTTTTTGTCACAACAGGCGATAGTATTCTGTATCGCTTGCACTTCCAGGACGAGCAGGTTTTTGCATGTAAGTTGAAAGAGAACACCACTATCGAAGATTCAACGCATTCCCACGACAGCAGGTTCTACGTACCGGAATGACTCGGGGCTTTACCCGACCAAGGGCTGTTTCGGCGCTAACCCCGTATAGATCGGCGATACCCTTCCAATCATTTTACGTCCACGGGGCATTTCCTTGCAGCCGTATTGCTTCGCATCCTTCTTCTCCGGGCGGGTGTTGAGCCCAAGTCCGGACAAGAAACATACTTCTGCTGTGTCTGCCAGAATCGACTCCATCCGAACTCCACTGGGAGTGGACTACAAGCTTTGTGGCTCCCTCTTGCTCAAGCAAAATGGGACCATCAGTCTCCACGGCTACCTGCTCGCGCAACGCGCGGGTGCAAACCAGCACCCGAAGAGCCTGCACGGCTCCTAGAAGCTCCCCTGAGCAACAGCAAACCTGCTCACCCCCTCAACCCTCACACCAATCTACCGGCCGCTCCAACTCGCGCGTGCGAGCCAACCAGCAGCTACTGGTAGCCGACACCATTTGCTCTGTGTGCTAGAACAGAGTATACCGGAACGTGACATCAGTCAAATGCCACACATGCCTTGGCTGGTGCCATTTCCGTCTGTGCTCTGGCCTACGCACCACACGCGAGTGTACAACAACCTACAGCGCCCCTGCTGTAGAGCACTGCCGACGCAAACCACATCGTACCCACTGCAGCCACCTACCACCAGGCATCAACAGCACCTGCGTCAGGCGCAACAGACCTAAGATAGACCCCACACGTCCCTCACCCACCTTACCGCGACCAGTCTCCCAAGGCATACGAAACTCTTGCAACTTAACTGCAACGGACTCCAGAGCAAGATTGAAGAGATAGCAGTCTTTATGGGTCGGCTTGGCATATTGATAGCTGCGGAACAAGAAACGAAGTTGCACAGCCACTCAACTTTTTTGGGTTGCGCAGCCTACAATGAGCTCCGTAAAGATCACGAGCGAGATAATGGTGGTGGATTAGCGTTCATCCTACACCACACATTGTAGTATCGGCTTATCGAAGAAGACATCGACCCAAGGGACACCACCCTAGAATGTTGGGGCATAGCTGTCTGGTCAGGCGATATCCTGTCACCTGCTGCCCGGCAGGATATCACCCTGACATAGCTGCCCTACTCGAGAGGTGAAAACCGAATGGTATTAGGTGACTTCATGCGCATCACGATCTTTGGCACTCAAGCCCGGCTAATGATCGTAGGGAAACCTTTTGGCGATTCGACATTCTGCACCATGAACGACGACGCGCCTACCAGGAATGTGGGTAGCTGCAGCAGCTCGCCAGACCTAACAATTGCTAGCGCTGGTCTGGTAAATAGCATATCATGGCGACCTATGCTAACCCTAGCATCAGACCATCTGCTCATAATCATCTCGATCAATAAGCCCACCGACTTTGCACCCGCGGACCACCTTCAACAAAGCTGATTCGCGGAAGTTGCCGAAAGCAGGGCTCGAATCGTCACATACGTTATCGTACTACTCGTCACGTAAAAACACATTTTTCGGATAATGACATACGTGAACGTACTCTTTGTCCCATTTAGTTTATACTGCCTGACGTATCACGTAATTTTCTTTCGTATCGTTTTCGATCCGTGAACAGATGTTACGATTCGAGCCCAGCTTCGCCGCCCTTCCCACACCCACAGACGTACATGCTGGCGAACGCCAGTTCCGCAGGGTAGTCATTGCCCTAGTGGCTCGCTTTGTACCGTCCGGACGCATCGCGGAAGCAGCTGTAGTAGCCAATGAGCGTGATCACCTACGGCCGTTCCCACGACAATCGGGTCTACGTTACCGTAACGACCCAGATTTATATTTGGCCAAGGACAGTCACTCCAGCAACACTCCCCAAAAACTCTTTGGGGAACTTGTATGCTGCTACAACAACAACAACAACAACCACCTACGCCAGGTCGATCCCGGGGATCCTCGCTTGAAGGCCCTTAATTTGGAGATTCGGCAACTGGTAAATCGGCACATGCGGGAAAGTGGCAAGAGCACTTGAAGGACGGTAATTTCACCTCTGGTGTGAGTAAGCTCTGGTCAACCGTGAGGTCCTTGGCCAACCCGTCGAACCGTGATGACAGAGTGGAAATCTCATTCGAAGTCGTGCTTCGTCGGACCCGAAGAAATGCGTAAACTACTTTGGTCGGCAATTTGTCCTTCGGTAGACAAGGCCAAACGTTGAGTGACCAGGAGGCTACACAAATTGTCTAAAAACAGTGCAGCACTTGTTTTCACAAGCGGTGAATTTAAAGGGGTCATCGGGAAGGCGAAAGCCTCCAAAGCCATTGGACCCGACGAAATCTGTATGCTGATGCTGAAACATTAGGGGCCCGTGGGAGTAGCATACCTAACGGAGGTCCTCAACCTATCAATGACCACTCTCATCATTCCGGATGTGTGGAAATCAGGGAGAGTGGTCCCACTGCTGAAACCGGGGAAGCCCGCCAATAAAGGAGACTTATCGCCCGAAAACGCTCCTTTCCCCGGTCGCGAGGACACTAGAGGAACTGTTACTCCCATAGTACTTCACCTGCCCCCCCTGACCCCAGCGAAGCATCAGCATGGGTTCCGTAAAGTGCACAGCCCAACAACAGCACTTAACCCCATAAACACCCAAATAACTCTTGGTCTAAATCGCAACCGCCCCTGTGAGAGAACGGTCCTAGTAGCGTTGGACTTGTCAAAGGCGTTTGACACCGTCTGCATTCCACGTTGCTAGAAAACATTGAGGCCTCTTCACTCCCACAGGGACTGAAGCGATGGTCGGCGAATCATATGAGTGGTCGACGGTCGTCAGTAATCTTCGGAGATTAAACCTCGAAACCAAGAAGAATAAAACAAGGGGTTCCACAAGGTGGTGTTTTCTCCCCCTTACTGTTCAGCTTCTACATATCGAAGCTCCCCCAGCCACCTGACGGAGTTTCCCTGATCTCGTAAGCTGGCGACTGCTCGATATTGGCGTCTGGGAATGGAATTGATGACCTCTGCTCAAAAGTAAATGGCTACCTCTCCAGCCTTTCTCGCTTCTTCACTGCAAGGATCCTAACACTCTCTTCTCAACGAAATCAACGGCGACCCTCTTCACCACCTGGACGAAGGATGCCAAGCTAGAATTGGGCATTCACGTCAATGGCAGACCAATACCGACAGTAAACAACCCGAAAATTTTAGGGGTCACCTTTGATACCCTGCTCTCCTTCTCCACGCTCACAACCGCAGTTGTCAACAAAGTACAGAGCCGCAACAAGGTCCTTTGTTGTTGTAGCAGCATACAAGTTCCCCAAAGAGTTTTTGGGTAGTGTTGCTGGAGTGACAGTCCTTGGCCAAATATAAATCTGGGTCGTTCCGGTTACGTAGACCCGACTGTGGTGGGAACGACAACAAGGTCATAAATCCGCTCGCCGGCAGCACTTGGGGCAAAGACAAAGAAACGTTGCTGGCAACATACAAGGCAATTGGCCGGCCGATTCTAGATTACGCAGCACGAGTTTGGACGCCGGGGACTAGTTGGACGTAGTGGACGAAGCTACAGACTTGTCAGAAAGCCGCACTCCGGACAGCGAGACTGGGTGCCTTCTGATGGCGCCTGAGTACCATCTACACAGCGAGGCCCAAGTGCTCCCCGTAAGAGAGCAGAACAAAATGCTTTGTAAGCAGTTTCTGGTGGTCACCACCTACCTCGACTCCCGTTTATGAATGCCGTGATCGGAGCCCAATCGCCCCCTGCCGAAGAAACTGAGCTACAACTGCCAAGAGAGACCCGCGTTACCCTGGCTCAGTTACGGTCTTGATATTGTAGACGCCTCAACAGCTACCTGTCCAGACTTGACCTCAGGAGACTCCACGCACGACACCAACCACCTCTTCACATGCCACAATCCTCAATCCTACTCAACTGACACCCCTCTCCCTCTGGTCCGGGGCCTACCGTTAGTTGAGGCTGACGACAAAGATTGAAGGTTGACCCGAAATAGCCGGGGCTTAGTAGTGCCGCTGCAACAACAAAATTCAAGGCAACGTGCACCTCCGAGCATTTGTTAAATTTATAAAAATGTATAGAGTGTTGCTGAAGCCATCTGCTGGCAGTTGCTGATAGTAAAATTTCCTGATAAGGCAAGCTACAGGTGAGCCGCGACACCAGCGCAGTCGTGGCTTGTATAATGCTGCCCACAGCCCAACTATGCAATATACGCGTTGTTAATTTATTTTTTTATTCAGTAGAAAAACTAATTTTTACTTTTTTATCATAGCTGGTACCTCCACCAAGGATGCGTTAAAAATTGCTGACTTAACCAAGTTCAATGCTGGTCGTCGTGAGGTCGGCGGCAAGCCACAATCTTTAGCCTGGGATGCAGATGGCAGATATTTGGCTGTTATATTCAAAGACACACCTTGTATTGCGCTCTTTAACACTTGTTTGAAAAAATTCGATATGACAATTTCGCCACTCTGTTTTCTCACCGGCATTGGCACAGAGTTTCCCTCATACATCTGCTTTCAAAGCATAAATCGGCGTAATACGGACACCGTTTTAACTATTGGTTGGTCCAGTGGTCGTATAGAATATTTTCCATTTGGTAATATGTGAAATAAAAGTAATACAACGTTTAGGTACATAAATATTAAAATGGTCTTTGTATTTATTATATGAGGTAAATCACTACATAATTTCCATTTAATATTCAATAAACAAATATATACAACAAATAAGGCCTTTGTCAACGGATAATGCAGATTTTAAAACAACAAATTGCAAGTTAAGATTACCAAGAAAGAAGAAAGAATTACACGCGTTCTTCACAAACATACGATATAAAAAAGAAAATACAATGATTCAAGAGTATAAATCCGTCGCCTGAACAAATGATTGTCGTATGTGAAACTGGGCCAAATTGAGTTAATAATGCAGTTATACTAAACTCATCAAGATCTCTCAAATGGCTTTATCAGACTTTTGATATCTCCTTTAGATTTCGAGATATGTGGTATATTTTTATCGTATGTGCAAGGTCACAAGCGTTTTAGTCGTATAATAAGTAAGTTTGGCACATACAACATTTTTCATACAAATTGAGTGTTTATAAGTCTCAACCATGGTGAAATAAATATAAGGTGATGTCACTTACATAACCTCACTTTTTCTGCATGCCAATTGCGGCCATGCATTTCGGGGTAGTAGAAAAAGGGAGAAAAGATTATGATTATTTTTACTACTTTTTGGGTACTATTTCCAATTCATACATATATCATGGACCCCACACCAGTTAAATGAAGTTTGCATCAATAAAATAATATTTTTGCAAACCAGTGTAATTACAGTTTCATTTTTTCGCTCAAAATAAATTATTATTACTTAATTTTTATTTTTTCGATCAAATATATTGATTTTAATAATTATTATTCAGTTCAATTTTTCTGCCTAAAAATTATTATTTGTAAAATTTAAAAGGCCACTCGGTCGTACCACACACATATGACAATGGTTAAAACTTAAAAAATAAGGACTATTTTCCGTCTTTCATTTATTCATATTAAAACAAATTAAATTATACCGTTCCCTTTATTTAATTATTCTTAAATTCTAATAAAAATGACATATTAGCCCGTATGGAAGTTCTGAAGTACATGTATATGCGTACATAGTTTTTAAATATCTAAACTTTAAAGGGAATTTTATTACGACCTTTATTTTCGTTACCATTTTAAAATAACATTTCTGAATTCTATCAGTTATATTATAAAATAATTATGCGTTTAAATTGTTAGACCAAAATGCATTATCGTAGCAATCCGAGGCACTGCTCCAATAATATGTTGGATATATATAGTATATATTTTACCAAAAAATTACTTACAAAATCACAAATATTGGAAATTATCGCTCAAATTTTCCAATGAATTTGAAACGAGGTCAAAGGAAAAGCGAAACAAAGAAACAGTGATACCTGCGCATACTTTTTTCACAAAATTGTATGCTCCATTTTTTGTTCCATTTTGCCCAGAAATGAAATTGGAATAAATAGAGTAGGCATTACTGTAACGCTGGTATGCCGAAATTGCCAAAATTACAACAACCACCCCCTAAGTGACAACACCTTATTATTATTTCACCATGAGTCTCAACCATGATACAAGAAAGAAGGTAGTTTCATTGTCACTTTTTCGTCGCCATATTAACAACCTGACAATTAAGTAGATTGTGACATTTCGTGCTACCATATCCAAAATCTAAAAACCTCCAAATTTTGTTATTAATTTTTCGGTTATTTACAAACATTTTGTTCTTAGAATCGAAAATTTGAACATGCAAAAGGTATATTGTTGGGTACGACTCGGTTACTTGTACAATAATTTTGGGTTAATGTGTCCAAATGGTTAACCCAAAGCAAAAAATTTTGCCACATGTGTGGTCAAACAATTACACGTTAGTTTAAAATAAAGATTTCTAAATTTCAGATACAAATTATTAAAAAATACTGTGGTAGCGTGGCAGCGTAGCCGGAGTTGGACTTACATTTTCTCTGTCAAAATTCTAATTTTACCAAATTTTTTAATGCTTCCGTCTCCGCTTGCCACCCCAAAACCATTGAACAAATAACCGAACATTTCTCCTTTTGTTTTTGGACGAGAAGAGGTTTAATGCTCAATAAGTTGATAACGGTGTTTCTAGTTTTCATACTAACAATGGGTGTGTTCAGAAATGCATTAAGCCAAAGCATCAAACGCATTTATTTCTAAACTATTATTTATGGAAATGTGTTATTTACGCAACTAGGGTCCAATTAGGCATTTAACTGTGGTTGCGCATATTGGACATTTCCATCAATTATAGTTTAGAAATAAATGCATTTGATGCTTTGGCTTGATGCATTTCTGAACACACCCTATAAGTCATCAATTTTGTTTCACACCCCCTCCAATATTGAACAGTAAAATATATTTGTTTTTAAACCACAGAGACAACGATATTGTCGAAATATACTAGAATTAGATAATACTTACTTCTCTGAAAGCCATGAGGTCCATAGGCCCCAAAGAAAATTCCGTTTTCAAGTTACTTGAAAGACATTGACAAAGAAAATATCGAAATTGTAATTTCAGTGTCTGAAATATATCACAAATAAACGTATCCGATATAGAAAACTAATAGTCCTGGCTAGCTACATTGTGAAATAATCAGATGACATAATGACACTAAAAAATTTTAAAATATGTTCACTAAAATTTTATTCCTGTAAAAATAAAGATGCTGGCAAGTAGTTATCGAACTTAGTGTAAAATTAAAACGTTTTTGAGAAAAGATATTAATTATTTTTAAAAGATAAATGTTAATACAACTATTTTATTTATACTCCCAAATTTAGGATATAAAATCCCCTCTACCAAAAAACTTAAATTGGGTAACGCCGTTTCGAATTTTTTACAATTGAGCAATTGTCACAAATCTCCTTTTTAATCAAAAAGTTGTTTATTGAAACTACCTTCTTTTTTGTATCATGGTCTCAACAAAAAATTGTATGTGAGAGATCACATACTACAAAATTTGACAGACCCTGAACAGCATTCACAGCGAGTCAGTCTCGAGTTATGTAGATTCCAGACGTGTGAATGCCGTTCTAGGCGCACAACCACCGGACATTGACGAGACGGAGCTTCATCTGCCTCGGGAGACAAGAACCACAATAGCCCAACTTCGCTCTGGCTACTGCAGCAGGTTAAACTCATACCTGAGCAGACTAAACGCAGATGTACCAAATGAGTGTCCGGCATGCGGAGAGACACCCCATGACTCGAAACATCTCGAACCCGACAACCTTAACGCCTTTGTCCCTGTGGACCGACCCTATTGGAGCTGCACGCTTCTTAGGGCTGCCGTTAGTGGAACTTGACGACAACGACTGAGATATTAACCGATCTGGGCGGGGTTGTTGTAGCCGCTACAACAACAACAACAACAAAATTCGAATCTTGTTCTGAATTACTACTGAACAAGCATTGAGCGTAAAAATTTCAGTGTCATTCGCGATTTTAAAGCGCGCGGACTTGCTTCGACTTACTCCAAATAAGCAAAGTTATATTATATTTTTAACCGACTTCAAAAAAATGAATAGGTTATTAATTCGTCGGAATATTTTATTTTATCTTATTTTTTGTGTATGTTACCGCATAACTTTGAATCTCGTCAACCGATTTCGATAATTTTTTTTTATCGGAAAGGTGGTACCTCAAGGGTTGTCCTATACTGGTTTAGATTTGATCATGGGATCATGAAGAAATTAACGGTAGTCCTAAACTTTTATATGAGAATTGAAGTGTGTTATGTTTTTTGCTTAAATATTACTTGGTGGAGAAAGAAAAAGACAAATGCTTCTAATTAAAATGTCTCACATACATATGTACATACTTATATACATATCGTTACCTTAATAGAGATAGGACCTATCTCATTTTTTTTGAAAATCCTGCTTGGTACAAATGCCGGTAGATTACTCACTGAAAACTTAATGCAATTCAAAAACAACTACTACAGCATTTAATTAATTATAGTCCTCAATTGAAAACAGCATTTTAAATAAATTTCTAATTAAAGAATTGATAGTTGTGTTAAGTTTTCAATCATTTTGCAAATAAACAAAAATTTTAGATAGGGCCTTTCTATATTAAGGTACTATTGTTTTTATAATACATACTAAGTTTTTTTGTGAAGCTGAATTGAATTCTTATACATATTTACTAGATTTGTAAGAACTATTTTTAGCCGATTTAAAAAAA